GCTGAAAAATTCCAGTAATATACATTAGTAGCTATATGCGTTATTAAAATTATACAGCCACAAATCAAATTAAAACATCTCGGCTCACAACAAAGAAGTAATGTGACATAACAAAATAAGAAACGTAAAATGTTGCAATATGATCTTTGATGTTAAAATTACATAAATTGAAATTAATGTTATTTTCATACAGTGCTCTAATTGACATGTTACTGCTTTATTTGATGATACAACAGTGGTAACAACAGCTATTTCATCCCATCTCCAAAGAAAAAGCTCTGGAGCTTAGAATATGAGGCAACAATGGAAGAGTGAGAGTGTGTCTAGCCTCTACCAGGACCTGGAGGCTCTGCCTTCTCTACAGAGTGCAATGCCAGGCAGAGATGTCAGAGTTAATTTGGGTACTAAAAGCCATGAAAACATGTTAACTAGCTCTGCTGGAAAAGCTCCTTCAGAGCTTAACTCAGGAATCCCTACAGACCAGAGCTCTGTGCGACAGGCATGTCCTTAGCACAGTACCTGTCACTGCAGAAAACTGCTGAATATATTCAGCTTATCTGCTCCTATTCCTCAGCCACCTGCTGTTCTAACCTGTGTCTTGTGCTGGCCCTGCTTTTGTGTACATCTACACAGCGATATTCAGAGCTCAGTGACCTTTCAGAGATAAACTGGTTTTTTGGATAAGTAACTTTTTAAGCAACACTGAACCATTTCACAAATTCATTGCAGATTACTAAACTGCTTGTGCCAAAACACAATGCCACTGGGAGAGAATCACAATTACACGTTTTCTGATTTTTAAGCAAATACCAGTTCTATAAATCCCTTATAAAAGTCTGAATTTCAGAGGACATGTTACAGCTACAGCTCAGCTTAAATAAGTTTTTAATTTATCTTAACACTTCTTGCTTTGGTTGTTCTGGAAACTGTCAACAGCCAAAAATGTTGTCAGTCAACATGTCATTTGTATGATTGTGGTGGCAATACTTTATCTCCTGTAAATTGATAAGGCTTAGAGTGCACTACAGAATACTATAAATTTGTACTGATCAGCACCCAGTGATTGCTGCCAAGGTGTCACTAGACTTCCAATAATGTAAAACAGCATACCCAGTTTGCAGAGCATTAAAAATGCACAGAAAAGAAACTGCAAACAAACAGTGGACATACTTTTAGCTCATATCCTCACCTATTTTGTGGTAGCTGCTCACTGTACGTCCCTAGAGCTGCTGGAAAGTACAACTAATCGTTTGCCTTTCTAAATCCAATTCACCCCCTTGGCTTAACAATAGCAAATTGCCATCAACTGCTTGTGCTAATAAAGGGGTCCCAAACCCACAAACAAAATGTAGCAACAGCAGCAGGTGTAATTTGAAAAGTGAGCAATGTAATGAGACTTGAAAGAATTTAATTGAAAAACTGTGAGCAAAGAGTGAATTCAGGCGGAATCATTCGATTCATGTAGCCATGTGGAATAATTTGTCATTTACGATGGTCAAAACAAATATTGCTGCATAAATGACTTTTAGGAACAGCCAGGCATTTTAGCAGCCTATGAAGAACATGCCAGAGTAGAGACTGAAGGAAACTTGGAGGACAGGGCTGCTGGACGGAGTGGTCCAGTAATTCCTGCATGCCACTCCAATCCATCACCAGCACTTTATGAAGTTGGTCAGATGGCCACCTTCTGCTGTCAAACTGGAAAATAATTCACCAGTACAAGTTCACAAATCACCTCTTTTCACAGGCAACAGAAAGAAGAAGGCAACTCTCCCACTAGCATAGCTGGTCATGGGAAAGTACATCCCTGCAAAACTGCCCCATCTGCCCTGACAAGCAGGTTTTGCTCCTTTCTCAGGGGGGTTACCCTTTCCCAACATACATCTCCATACATCTTCTCAGCCTGTCTCCTTACAGATCAGTGGCCCAAAACAAAAAGAGGGTAGAAGCAGTAGGTAAACATAGCAGGTGGTTTTTTAAAATTGTACCTTTTCACCTCCACTACTACTAAAATATTGCTGTGCATCAAAACAGGGAGAACTGGTTGGTAGGGTTGGGGAAAACAGAAGGCTGCATAAATTGCCTTTTAAAACCAATGTGACTTTTTAAGTTTGGGTTTTTCTTTTTATCTGAATAGTATAATTGTTCTTCAATAAACACTGGCATTTAACAATACTCATTAACATGCTTATGATTGCTGATATTCCTGAATAGCTGTAATCTGATTAAAAACTAATAAATTCTGATATTGTAGGTTATCTGTAGATTAACTTTATATTAGCGAATTCATTTTTTTCTATATGGGGGTAGTCTAATTTATTATCTAATTAAAAATGGAGTTTCTGTTACATTTTTTAGGTTTTAGAACGCTAAACAGTTGCTAACCTCACAGTTGCTAACCTCACTTTTTTGTCCACAACGAGAAACAAAGTGAAATTGTATCTCTATTTTTTTTTACATAGATTGAAGGGTTACATGTTATTTGCTAAGAAATAACACTGTTGTCATGTTTCTTCAGCAAAAAATGGCTGACAAGACTTGTTTCACATCTGTCTGCATAATGTAACAAACCCATGAAGAACTAGTGATGAAAAAGCTGTTTTGTTGACAATCTATTATTGTTAAATGCACCCAAACACCAAGATTTAGGCAATGCTCATTAGTGCTGTATTGTAGCTCAGGATTTTGTCCCTATAAATACTTTGTGTCAAAATATTTTTGTAATATATTCTAGGCTGCAAGCCTTGCCTTTACAACCCCGAAGAGCTACAGCCGTTGAAGCCTTTTATTATCTGACTCACACTCAACCACCCACACGATAACACTGCCAGCCCCACACAGTACCCATGTGTAGTCCAACTGCCCCTTTCCACAAATGCCACCTGACCTGTTTGCTTTGTGCTCTGCTCACCTACTAATACCACTCAGGTCCCTCAGTCTTTCCCCCTGTAGCCAGACATCACATTGGTGGCTTTCAGTTTCCATCTACGACTCCAGAGATTTTATTTTTCTTACAAATCTCACAGTTGCTCATATTATGACTTAGTCACAGGAGAAGAAAGGGAGTAGAACTTCCCTCCTATCTCTGACTGGCCCACTGAAATCTTCTGCTTCTGTCTGCAAAAGCAAGAAGGCAAGACAGGACTCGAGGAAAGCAGTGCCTGAGGACCAGCACACACCACCCTTGGATCTCCCTGCCACAGCCACAGCCAGTCAGGCAATTGCACTGACACTTTGGCACAGAAAATTAAGGCAGCAGCTTCTAACAGCTCTAATGACATCACTGGAAGTTTGATGGATAACTATTAAGAGCAGGGTCGTGCCCCTAATCAAAAGCCTCTACTTGAAATAAATCCTTAAGCAACACTAACGATGAATCCCAAACAGACAGTCTCCCGAACATTTCCATCTGGAAAAGGTGTTTACTAACATATGTGCTTTTATAAACTAAACAAAATTTAATGCAACATGAACTTCACACCAAATTACAAGGGGAAAAATCTGCTTCTCAAGCATTTTGCAAAACTGAGAACACTTACATATTTCATATTACATTTTAAATAATTCAGGTCGTAATTTTTTTAATAAAAGAAATAGTTTTAATAAATACTATAGCTAGTTTAGGACAAATTCCTTAAATTCTGAAGTATGAATGTACCACAGTGTTTAAATAATACAGAGAACACATGACTTCTAGCAAGGTCATGATGAGAGAGAGAGCATAGACTACCCTTCGTGGGGAATTGAATTAAATGCATCTCATTTTCACTTTGTCAAACTTAGTTCACAATCTGGTTGAAGACCAGCATGCTACTTAGGGTAGCAACTATCCACAAGGCAGGTATTATATCTTCATTTGACAGGTCTGGGGTCAGGTAGGTTGAATCAATACTGTAGAGATCTGTCCATGGTCAAAAATGGACAATAAAGAGTCATATGATATATGAATATGGCACACAGGGAACTCATTGAAAATGAGGAATAAGAATAAGAATAAAAAAAAAAATGGGTTCCACTCAAAATAAAGGGAAGAATTTTATTTCAAGAACATATGAGAAACGTCATATGGACCAATTCACTTCGATATAAGAAATTGGAATTCTACTTCTCATTGCTTTAAGTAGGGTCCCATTTTAATTAGTATGTTGAAATACAGTTGGGAAAATACCTAACCATTTGTTTATATGGTTTTGTGTGAAAGGTTGAAGAAAACCTCAACAGTTTTCAGATACTCGCAAAGTTCCACAGACACAGAAGGCAAAATAATAATTATAGATGTCACATTGTACAGTGGACTGGAAAGGGAACAGGATTATATCTGTAGACAATACTTTTTTACCCATTCATTTTTGGTACCTGGCAAAAAGAGACAGAAAAACACTCTTGTCTAGTACATATCACATGGAGTCAGAACCACACAGTGTATGACCTCTTCATAAGCAGGTTACTTTCCCTTGACAGTCCAATGTTCATAACTTCATTCTTGAAATAGTTGTGCCATACTCTTCACTAAAGACAAACCACAGACTGAAGCTAGAAGCTGACCATCATGAATTAAACCATAGCTTAAAAATATGGAACAATCACTCATAAAAAAGAAATTAATGGTTGAAGATGTCTCTTCTGCTTGTGTTTATTCCAGGACAAAAAGCCTCACCAAAAGCCTGTTTTACAGCTTCAGTCAACCTTTCCTCCATTCAGCACTGAAGACCAAAGTGGAGTCTGAGTTAATTCCAGTGTATATGGAGGACTTAGGTCTGCTCTACCTTTTGCTTTATAGTTGGCATTTCCAGGTTCTGTACAGAGAAAAAGCTAGGAATACTCTTCCGTGAAATTTTGTAAGATCTTCATATAAATTTCCCTGAGTTTTGGACTGCTCAGCTACTGGGATTTGCTTTGGACTTACTTCTATCAAACAGATTCACTGACATGTGAAACCCACTTTTTCTTATTATTTCAAAGCTTTGTTTTTTCTATTGGCACAGAACAAAGATTCTTACCAGTAACCTTCAATTCAACCGTCCTTCGTATAAGCTTGCCTTCAAACTTTAGTTCACAGGTGTAATTTCCTCCATCTTCTTCCTGGACCTCTTGAATTAAGAGAGTATTTCCTTTCTGAATTACAACGCTTCTCCACATTTTTGGCTTACATTCCTGCAGAAAAAAAATCCATTGCCAAAATTACTCAGCTTGTACAACATAAGACAGTGTTGCCTGATCAGATTTTCAGTATTATATATACAAGTAAACAACCACCCTGATATATTTTGCAATTAAAATTCGAATATAATTTCAGAAAGCATAGAGATCTGAAACTGGAATTAATTCAAAGGTTGGAATTAAACAGTAATGTTTTTAAGGTTCAGTAATTCCTACTGTATCACATGGGTTGTGTTTAATACATGGTGCCCTGAAGCAATGGTTAAGTATCTTCTCTTTTTCTTGATAACAACTGCCAAGACCTCTACTTTAGGACAGACCATTAAAATACATCTCTGTTTGAAGGGGGTAAGGGCAACATTTGTTAAGAGTTAGCCTGGAGGCAAACTTTACACATAGTCCCAGGCTAGAACCATTTACCAATAGAAGCAAACAGGAAGAACAGCAGTTTTGTGAGCAAGAGAATTCAAAAACCTGGTTTCCTAACAGTCTTGTTTCTCATCACTGGCTTCTCTAGCACCTGATGAGCTCTGATTCAGCTTTTCCCCATCACTAGGCTCTATGTAATATCACCCCCACATGTGTCCTCTGATGCAGTACATGGTACTGATGGTCTGTCAGTAACAGTCCTTAGCTGTTGTTTGGCAGATTTCAGTTCATCACTACAAACTGTGGTCCTACTGGGACAGCATTTGAGTCCTTCTGTATAGGGTGTGATATAGTGCCAGAAGAGGCTCTCCCTTTCCTAACAAACCACATCCTTGCAGGCAGATCAGTCACCTTCCACGTGAATTGTACTCATGATGGAATAGTTCTTGGAATGCTCTGAACTAAAAGCAGGGGCTCAACCTAATTACTGTCTCTTGAAAATGGCACCTTAAGATTATATACTTACTGTCTCTAAATATATTTAACATCAAGCCTGTTCTGCCTGCAACAAAATCACTTTTCTCAGTTCTCTAAAGCACTCAGCACTCCTGACAGTTCTATACCAAGAGAACACAAAGCAACATAGGGCCTGAGTACCTTCAATGTCCCTCTACTCCCTCCCTCAAGGTGGCAACTTGGAATAAGCTCTCAGACTGCAGCTAACAGTCTTGCATCAGTTACATCGGGCTCAGCAACTTCAGAGACTGGTGACATGCCCAGACCTATGCCCCATTTTCTGCTCCTCTGCAACAGCAGTGTCAGAAACAGAGAAAACAAAATAGAACAAAGCTTTCTCTTAAGAAAACAACCAAACAAGAAAATACGTCAACATGCAAATACACTGTATCACAGCAAGAGATCAGAATGACACAAACATAAATTTTTCATGGGATTCCATGTGCATTCCAAATCCACGCCAGATTCTAAATTAAAGGATAACAACAGGGAAATAGAAAGAGAGGACTGAGAGCTTCTGGCCTTGCACTTGAAAATGGAGCACTGAAGAATCACCCCTATCCCTAGGTGGCCAAATCCAGTTACAATGTGGACAGATTTCAATTTCTGAAGCTGTGCAATACTACTGCAGGTAACAGAGTGATCGGGTTATCTCTGTTTCCAAAGTACAGCTGTAAGGGCAGCGTAATCTTGCCTTGCATGTGAACTTTAGTTAACAGCAATGATAGAGAATGACTAAATCCAGATCCTATCTGCTCTGCTAAAAAGAATCAGAGCTTATTTTTGTTACTAAATTGCACTATCATCGCTTGAGATTCACGCAGGACACAGATCAGAGCCAGGAAAGGCCATTGAATCCTTTCTGATTTGTGCTCAATATTTTAGGTCTATTGAAAGGTACATCGACCACCTACTTGGAGTAACTAAATTTGAACACTGGGCAAGGAATATGATTCTGTTCTCTTCAATCCTAATTTAGAAGGAATACAATTCCCAGAACACACAAAGTAAGCGTATTTCAGATATGCACCTTTTAGTGCAGCACTGAAATTCCCTATTATGTGTTACCAGTTTTCTATTATGTACTTTATTTTTAAAAGTAGATAAGGGAGCAAAGAGATGGAAGATACATTTTTATATGCCTTATATTTTTATATACTACATGTTTGTAATAAGAAGGGCAACACCTTTACTACTACAGAGATTAATGATTTAGCTCAAACAATGTGCTGTTACGTTTTTACAGAGAGAAACTGTTCTGCTGAATTATATCACCGATTTCCTAATTATTTCTTTTTGTATCTACTTAGAATACTTCATATTAAAAATTATTTATAAGCCTTTCTTTTCCAAAGTTCAGCTAGTTAATTTGTCTTCTATTAACTATGCAGGCTTTATAAAAATATGTTGAAAATGCTTGTTTATATATTTAATACACAAAACTAAAAGCAAAAAAGGGGAGAAGCTGGAAAATCGTAACAATTTGCATTTTAGCAACAAAAACGGCTGAGAAACAAATAAAATTCTAACTAGTCTTCATACTGGGAAAACAATGTAGATTTTACTGTCAGAGGTGTGCTAATTTCTCTAAAAGGTAAGTGCTCAATTGTATGACTCGTTTCATAGAATCACAGAACAGCTGGGGTTGGAAAGGACTTTACAGTTCATCTGGTTCCAACTCCCCCAGTCATGGGCAGGAACACCTTCCACTAGACCAGGTTGCTCTAAGCCCAATCCAACTTGGTGCTGAACACTTCCAGGGATGGGGAGTCCACAACCTCTCTGGTCAACCTGTGCCAGTGCCTCACCACCCTTACAGAGAAGAACTTCTTAACACTTCATTAGAATCTACCCTCCTTCAGTTTAAGGCCATTCCCTTTTGTCCTGTCACTACATGCCCTTGTGAAAAGTCCCTCTCCAGCCTTCTCATAAAGCCCCTTCAGGTACTGGAAAGTGCTCTAAGGTCTCACTGAAGCCTTTAACCAATTAATTGTTCTTTTCTGCTTTTGCACTACATTTACCTGCTAGAAGAATCTGAAAGTTTCTTTTCCAAGCCTATTTATTCTCCTTAGATATCTTAAATGTTTTTTGTGGGTTTTTTTCCCCAGTAATTAACTTGTGCACTATTATGCTATGTTTCTCTTCCTTGAAATGTTAGTGGCAGCACCTCAACAACTCTATTTTTCTAAGGTAGATAACAACTACCTGTCCTTCACCTGACATTTTGATTGTTTTCACAGCCCTTCCTTCAACCCAGTTGTAGAAAAGAGATGATGGAAATGGATTAAGACTCCACATTCAAGATGTAATATACCTTTTTCCTCTGCCAGTTGATTTTTCATGAAACTGCTCTTACTCTTAAATCCCATTCATTCAATCATGCCTTGACACATTCATTTACTTCAAAAAAATCCTCACACTTCTTGTCAAAACAGTTTTAAGAGGTATAACAGAGTTCTGTATATATCAATGGCATTAATTGAGGAAATCTTTAAAAATAAATATTTCATGCAGTGTAATTCTAGCCAGAAGTGAAGTTCATACCACTGTTAAAACAAATCCTCACAGTAAATGTTTTATTACTTACTGGGTGTGCATGGGAAAATCTATTCAGGCATAATTAAGAGCATGTTTAAATTACAGTTAACTCCCTGTAAATTGATGCAATTATTGGCTCAGATTCATTAATCCCTCAACACAGAGAAGCCTTTTGGAAGGCAGAGTGAGTCCTGCACACAGTGGGCTTGCACCGTGACTGTCCTGTCTGATGGTATTTCATAGGTCACAAGTCCAAACCCCTGACTACCAGAGAACTGGCAGGTTTCTCCTGAACACAAGAGTTTCTCTTTTCAGACAAGGGTATAAAGAAGGAACCTCCAGGACTTCCTTATATTTATTTATCTACTGTTCTCTTTCGGCCAACTTATGTTCCCTGCCTGGATGAAAATCTTCTCTAAGTATTTCAGCATAACGAAAAGGAATTGCCCCCCAGTGCCGCTGGAGCAGATTTACACAAGAAGATGGCTTCGTGTACACATCAAACTCAATCTTCAAGGTAAAGGGGAAAAACTTGAGGACCCAGTGTGCTATGACTAGAGACAGATGCCTCCTTCAGAAAGCAAGGACCAAATCATAAGCAGAGTATCACTGTACACTATTGTTTGGGGGAAGGGACCTGCTTTTTGTCACTCACGTTGCCTCACAGAGAATGGTCTGAAATCCCTGACTGTGGTTTGTAGGGGTTACCCCAGTATTCATCATATTATTTTGCAATCCAAGTAATTATATATTTTCTAGTAACTGGGCTTTTGAGTAAGCAGACTTCTTAACACGATACTCTCTAGAATATTTTTCCAAAACCCTGTTCAGGAATAAGTTTCAATGGACAACCTGACATACCTACCTTCTGCATAACATCAATATTGACATTTCACACTGCTGAGCTTCCTGACTCATTTCCAGATAACACAGATGTTCTCTAAGAGCCAAACTGATAGCACCTTATTGTTAATTATGGATAAGAAGGTGTATGTAGGAGGTTATCCCATTAATGTCTCTTCTCATTATTAAGGCAGACTAAAGGTTGTCAACTTTGATTGTTTTACCATCATCACCAAACCACATCAATTCTGTTCACTTTCAATCACTGTGATGACTTGTCAGTCAGTTGTCACACTCCAGCCTGGTGTCACACAATCTGTGTGTGCAACCCAGACAACACGTGTGGGTGTATGGGACAGACCCTTCCATTCCCTTTCTTGGTCAGTACAAAGCATCACTGGTGTGGACCTGCACATGCATCTTAGTTAGACTGATTTCTGCTCCGTGACAGCTGAAGATTATTCCTGCCAGACTATTTTTCAGTGTGTTCTTGCAGAAAATGAGATCTTCAGTGATCTGGTGTTCAGCAATATCTAGGCAGATAGGGCAAGAAGAAGCTTCTCTTTGGTACTCTCTTTTTTTCAAGATTTCAGACTTCCTCTGCAGAGCCAGGAATTGGACTTGATGATCCTCGTGGGCCCCTTCCAACACAGGATATCTATGATTAACTAAATACATATATTTGACACACGAACAGCACTGAAGATATCCACCCATATGCTGAAAAAAAGAGCTTCAACGGCTGAAAGAAAATTTTGTTTACACTAACAGTAGGCTATGGTACACATTTTGTTACTACAAGACAGAACATGTGAGATTTTTGTAAAAAGTAGAAATAAATGATAACTTTTATAATTGCTCTTTTCTGACGCAACCTGCTAAGGAGGAAAAAAACTGCTGCTCTGCATGTATTACTTATTTCACACAAGATAACTGTCTTTAAAGAATGTTATTAAGGTTGGCAAATCAAGCACTGCAAATTTAGGATTTAACTAGCTTGTGCTTTTCAGCACAAGAACAATGAGTCATCAATAGTTACCTTGTACCACACCACATCTGGCTCTTGACCGGCTGTTTTGTAATCCTCAATGTCAGGACAGGAGATTGTCTTTCTCTTAGTGACTTCTGATTTTTCCAGATATCTGATCTTGCTGTTGTAGCAAAGCCCAGATTCATTCTCAGCTACCGTCAAGGACATGGACACCTTCATGCAATATGTTGAGTTTCTGCAGGAACAGAAAGATGTTTTCATTTATCCTACCTTCTTTCTACTGTGTTTGTTTCAACACAGTAAGTTTCTTTGTTAAGCTCTCATCTTCACAAACACTTGAATGACAGATTCAAATAGTGACTGTCATGCTCTATCTTTCCAACACAGAGGAATTACAGAAAATGTAAAGGCTCATTTCTGATTTACTGTGAAGACTATGCAGAACCTTGCAGAAATTTTGTTGACAAGTGATCCAACCCAGCACAGCAGCTCTTTCAAGCTTGCAAGTCTGTGAACACAGGAACCTGTTGGCATCTCAAATATCAGCCAGGATACACTGTCCCATTTCCTCTGCGTGTCCCACACAGTCCTCCTCACCCTCGTTCTCTCCCACCATCAGGAGATTTCACCCTAGTACTCAGTGCTGCATGTTTGAGAAGAAGGGTTATGAGTTGGGTGTTAAAGCACATCATGCAGGAAGGATTTCTCCCTCAGAAGGAACTGCTGTACAAAATCCTACAACATAGGATATTGTGGTGGGTCGACCTGGACCAGCTGCCAGCCACCCCTCCAGCTGCTCCCTCACTCACCCTCACAGGAAGGGGAGGAGAAAATAAAATGAAAAAGCTCACAGGTCAAGATAAAGACAAGGAGATCATTCACGAATTACTGTCATAGGCAAAACAGACTTCACTAAGAAAAAATATTTTAATTATTTGTGAATTATAATAGGTTGGTAGTAAGAAAGATAAAAAAACTAAAACATGTTTCCCTCATATCTTTTCTTTTTTCCTCCTCTACCCTCCCTCCCTCACTGATTGGGCCAGGAGGTGGGGATGGGGAGTGGTTCATTCCTCTCTGTCACCTCTTCCTTCTTACGTTTTGCTGCTGCAGCATGGATGCAGCTCCTGTCCAGAAAATCAGCTCTCCAGAATCCCTCTCAGGCCACAGGGACTCAGTGCCTGCTGGGGCCCAGGGCACCAAAGAACCCTGACAGCTAAATCCAGGAAGCAGATTGCTATGCCCAGTTTTTCTTAATATCAGGGCAGAATAAACACAACCAACTCAGCTGCCATGCTGCACAATCAGGAAAACAGGATTAAACTAAATTCCTTCAGCCTTGCAGCTTTAACAGAGCTATCAGACACACAATAAACCCCCCAAACCAGTGTTTGCCATGCTGTTACTGGCACTCTGCACAGGATGGCTGCAGGCCAGGCTGCCAGCTCTGCCCCTCACTCTGTGCCACAGCAGGCTCAGAGAACAACCCACAATATAATGGGGCTCTTCCTCCCATCATGCATCATCTTGTCATTTTAACTGATTGCACCACAACCAAAAAAGCCAGGAGTAAACCAGTCGTGCTGGGTGGTTACTCCCACCAAAGGGAGCTGTGGAGAGCTCTGGCGGGAGGTATCTTGGCTTTGCCACTGCCTCTTCCATCACAGCTCTGCTGCAAACTGATTTAGCTGAGACAAGAGGGTGCCCTGTGCACCTGGGAAGTGATCCATCAGTCTCACCCTGACGCTAACGACGCTGGCTGCTCACTCCCTCCAACTAGACCCAGGACAATGCTTTTAATTAAAAAAAAAAATCCAACATGCTCCATGACAAATCTTTTCTTATGCAGCGTTTCTACATTTCACTCTGTCAAGTGAGCCTGTAGTTGGGAAGAAAATAAAAAGGTCTACAGGGACACTTCATCACAGCTCGAAGCTTCATGCTAAACAAGCGCTGACAAAACACTGTAAATGGGTTCTTGTCAAAGGTGTGCCATGAGCAGGTTTTGGCAGACAGAGGCATTTGCAAGGCAAATCAGCAGGCAGTCTCAGAAACCTCCCATTTTCAGCATCATTAGTCCTACATATTCGGCAGAACCACAGAGTTTGTCCACCCTAGTCCCTTCTCCTCAAAATGCCACCTGTACATTTATGTAATAAACTTTGTGGATATTTTCTCCATTCCCTCACCTCTGAGTGGAAAGGCTCACTTTGCATGCTGCCATGATGTCTTTTCAGCTGAGAGGTTATAATAAAGTCTCATCCTCACAAACTGCACAAAATATATTATTTTACCTGAAAGAAAAATTTTCTGGACTGAAAAAAATCCATCATTTGGGGTGGGCTTTTCAGAAATATTTATATGGTTAAGGAGCATAAGTCAACTTTCTCCTAAACTGGCTTTTGAAAAGAGTTACCTTTCTTGTAGGAAGAAAACAAAACATATTTGAGAGTTTCAATGCTTCCTGCACTGAAAATCCACAGAATGTGATACAACCACTCAGTATAATCAATAGTAATTAATCAGTAATGATTATTTAACCTTCCTGAATGACTATAAGTACTACTGAGTGCAAGTAAGGTCACATGTGCTCAGTGATAATGATCCAGGCTAATCAAGAATAATGACTTTGAACAGTTGTCCATTACTTGGTGCTATTTAATAGTGCTGTATTTTCTCCTAACAATCTTGCATTATTTAGATTGTATTTTGAAAAACGCTGGAGGCTACTTCTATTTAAAATGCTTCCTGGAACCAGGACCCAAAAATGTAGTATTCTTTTCATTAGTTACAATTAGAACTGAGTAGAATTGAGGAAACTAAGTGCCTGGTGAGTACTATCACTTTTGTTCACACTCCATGACCGAGACAATAAATCTATTCAGGCTCATGATGAAGAAAGCCCTCACTAAGCCAACAGCAATAGACTTGAAAGCTTTATGAATGCTTCTTCACCAGCCACTCAGGTTAGTGCTACTGCTGGTAATTCAGGAAAGGGCAATTTTCCAGTGACTGAAACAGCAGCAGCCTTCCTTTAATCTCGTCAGCTTGGGATAACAGTTATATTGCAGTTATGTGCAAAAGGAAAGGAAAGTTTGATCAGTCTGTTTTTCTCAGTTTTGAGGTAGAAGTCTGGGAGCTGAAGTCTGTTGAAATTGTGAGCCATTCCATCCCATGCTGGGCAAGCTGTTCCTCAGCTGTAAGGATTTCATCGCTCAGTCCTCTGAGAAGGTGATGCATCTGTGCTGACTTTTTCTTGTTGTCTTCCCTTCCTTGTGGAGTCTGGAGCATACAGTTGTATGTTCATATTTAATGAGGAAAGCTGGACACAAAAAGAACAGTAGATAACAAAATCAAGGCTAGTAACCTGGGTTCTGCTGTCAGAATCTGTGGCCAAAAGGAATAAAAAGGAAGTATCTCCCATGTGGATGAGGAAGATGCTGGAGGGCTTCCAGTGATGATCTTAGTATTGCAAGGCCAGACAAGAAGAGTTGTTTCTCAATAGAGAATATATGAACCCAAATTAACCTGTCAGGCTGCAGAACCTTTTGCACATCCATGCAAAGGAAATAACCTATGAGTCTGAAAGTGCATTTTTTGATAATCTGTCTTTTTTGAAAGGTTGCCAAACCATTCACTTTCCACAGGAGTTGATTTCCAATGGATTCCATTTCCACAAGAGGTAGCAGTGGTCATATGAGGAACAGGAAGAGAGAAGAAAAGAAAGAATCACTCCATAGTACAAAGAAAAAAAATTGTCTTATATTTTCACACTGAAACTAAGATCTGTAATTCTCTTTTTCAAGGGACTAGTTACACACTGGGCCTACTCTCTTGACTGGAAATAGGATGGGTTTCGCTCTGCCAGAGTTCACAAAGCAGATTCCTTTGTTTTGGTGGCAAGGCATCTGTAATCCCCAGGCCACTTGGAACTGGCACTGAACCACAGACTGAAGCCAGCTCCAAATCCAACAGAAAACCACAGGGAAAACCAAGGGAGTTTAACAGGTCTCAAAACAAAAGCAAGCAAAACTGTGAGTTTGGCTTGGAAGTAAGGGCAAGAGGGAAAAAGGGACGATGTAAAGAAATGGATAAGAAGGACATTTGGAATTGGAGTGTCAATCCCTAAATTATTTTTCATCTTGTTTTGGATTCAAGACAATTCATCAGCCCTAAGGCTGAATTAAAATCAGAGGAAATATTCATAGCTTTGGAAAAAACTTTTTTTGGCATTTCTGTTTCTGCTAAGTGAGGGTGTTTGTTAAAAGAGTCAAGCAAAACGATTTTGGCTCTAGTATACACAGAATCTCCCCCCACCCCCATTTATTCATTTTCTTATAAAGAGGACGGAGGCAGAAAAGGGGTTGAATATTTTATATCTTCTAGATTGAAAAACCCCACCCAAATTTGAATTGCACATTTATACGAAGGGATTCACAATGGGATTTTCTCCCTTGCAGGTTAATTTTTCATTGCATTTGGTTTTTTATTACATTCTAATACTTTGAGGGTAGATCCAAAAGCTGGAAAGTGTATTTATCAAAGCAGTGCTCAGGAAACAGCACAGCTCAGGCTTAGATCTCTCTCCATGTACCTTAACACTCTGGCTGTTTTAATGACATTTTTATTGGCTCACTAACTGAAGGACTGTATAAACCAGCACATACATTCCTCTTTGCTCATTTTGAGTTAGAACAGTAACAGCAATAACTACACCACCAACTGTTTTTGTCCATCTGAAGGTTCACAGCATTAATGCATGACCAGATCCACTACTGGCTGCTCTATAAATGTGCTGTGTTATCAGCTTTCAGACTTAATTGAGCATTTGATTGTTTTCCTCTCTCTTCATGAGAGTTTTATAAATTTATTCCTGTCCAAATTTTACACTTCAAATAATGGTTACCAAGGTCATGGTTTGGTGATCGCCTTAAAGAAAAACGAGTTATTTGTTACCATTGTATTTTTAAGATCACAAAAATGTAACATCTTAAAAACAAATGGATTATTGCTTACTCTTCCAAGGTTTCCTTCAAGTGCTAACTTATTTCTCAGTGACTACCACTGCTACATGTTTGAGGTTATTGTCTAGAAAAGATCAATTTCCTGAACATGGAATAAGTGACTGTTGGAGGTTACAAATCACAGACCCTTCAAAGTTTTTGGATTTTTAATTCTTAGCAGTTTGTCAAGTGAAAGAGCAACATCTGAGTAGAACAATTTAACAGATGGCTG